ACGCGCGGTCGAAGGTCAGATGATACGACAACAAAGTCGATCATCGACCTCCGGCCTAGGGTGTCCTGGTGCCACGTGCACTGATGGACACCCTTGTGCTCGAACATGGTGTTCGTGATGGACAGGCCGTGACTGGCACAGAAGTCCAACAACTGAACACCGCTCGGGTTCAGATCAGGGGGGCCGTTCTTCCCGATCACCCCTCTCCAAGTGTCACTGGCATTTCCCACATGGGCGTTGAAGTCCCCCAGGAGAATAACGGAGTCCCCGGGCGGTGCACTATCCAGTACCCCTCCCAAGGACTCCAAGAAGGCCGGGTACTCTGCACTACCGTAGGGCCCGTAGGCCGTCACAACAGTCAGAGACTTGTCCCCCACCCGGAGGCGGAGGGACGCGACCCTCTCATTCACCGGGGAGAACTCCAACACGTGGAGCTGAGATGGGGGGCAATGAGAATGGCCACCCCCGCTCGCCGCCTCTCCCCGCGGGAAACTCCAGAAAAGTGGAGCGTCCAACCCCTCTCAAGAAGTTGGGTTCCAGAGCCCAAGCTGTGTGTGGAGGTGAGGCCGACTATCTCTAGTCGGTATCGCTCAACCTCCCCCACAAGCTCGGGCTCCTTCCCCCCCAGTGAGGTGACGTTCCACGTCCCAAGAGCCAGATGTTGGGTGTGTGGACTGGGTCGTCGAGGTCTCCGCCTTCGACTGCTACCCAGTCCTCGCTGCACCACGCCACCACGGACCCCTCTGCAGGTGGTGGGCCCACAGGAGGGACTGCCCACGTCGTCCCTTCGGGCTGAGCCCGGCCGGGCCCCGTGGGCTAAGGCCCGGCCACCAGGCCCGGGGTGTCCTTTGGGGGGTCCTCCGGGAGTACGGGGTCCGGGGTCCTCTGCTGAGGGCCGTCCGGTCCCTGTATGACCGGAGTCAGAGCTGTGTTCGCATTGCCGGCACTAAGTCAGACCTGTTCCCGGTGCATGTTGGCCTCCGCCAAGGCTGCCCTTTGTCACCGGTTCTGTTCACTGTATTTATGGACAGAATTTCTAGGCGCAGCCAGGGGCCGGAGGGGGTCCGGTTCGGGAACCACAGGATTTCATCTCTACTTTTTGCGGATGATGTCGTCCTGCTGGCTCCAACGAACCAGGACCTGCAGCATGCACTGGGACGGTTTGCAGCCGAGTGTGAAGCGGCTGGGATGAGAATCAGCACCTCCAAATCCGAGGCCATGGTGCTCGACCGGAAAAAGGTGCCTTGCCCTCTTCAGGTGGGTGGAGAGGTCCTTCCTCAAGTGGAGGAGTTCAAGTATCTCGGGGTCTTGTTCACGAGTGAGGGAAGGATAGAGCGTGAGATTGACAGGCGGACCGGTGCAGCGTGCGCAGTGATGCGGTCTCTGTATCGGACCGTTGTAGTAAAGAGGGAGCTGAGCCGAAAGGCGAAGCTCTCGATTTACCGGTCAATCTTCGTTCCCTCCCTCACCTATGGTCATGAGCTGTGGGTAATGACCGAAAGAACGAGATCGCGGATACAAGCGGTCGAAATGAGCTTCCTCCGCAGAGTGGCTGGGCGCTCCCTTAGAGATAGGGTGAGGAGCTCAGTCACACGGGAGGAGCTCGGAGTAGAGCCGCTGCTTCTCCACGTCGAGAGGAACCAGTTGAGGTGGCTCGGGCATCTGTTCAGGATGCCTCCTGGACGCCTTCCTGGGGAGGTGTTCCGGGCACGTCCCACCGGGAGGAGGCCCCGGGGAAGACCCAGGACACGCTGGAGAGACTATGTCTCTCAGCTGGCCTGGGAACGCCTTGGGGTCCCCCCGGACGAGCTGGAGGAGGTGTGTGTGGATAGGGAAGTCTGGGCGTCTCTGCTTAGACTGCTGCCCCCGCGACCCGGCAACGGATAAAGCGGAAGAAAATGGATGGATGGATGGAATATACTATGCTTTTTAAGAATATGACAGTGGTGATAGAGCCGAGATTTCTTGTCATGAACCTTAAGAGAACTTTTGTACAATGATTCCAGGGGCCTTAATGCTGTTTTACATGCCTGCGACCAACTCGTCATGCAATAACGGAAGTGCGGAACTATCATCGCATTTAGATATAAATTAGAAGCATCTATAGTCAGAGAGTTCCTAATATATCTAAAATTTGCTATATTAAATTTCAACGTATTGGTTAGTTTTTTAATATGTTTTTTGAAATTTAAATTTGGGTCAAGAATTACTCCTAAATATTTAAATGGGTCTACATTTAAAATTTCCTGACCTTCAATTATGATTTTTTGTCCAGTTTCACATAGTGAGAACTTACGGCGGTTTGTGAAGAACATAGAAACCGTTTTGTCAACATTCAAAGTTAAATGAGAGTTTTTCAACCAAATGGAAATGTTTTTCATTTCCTCAGTTAACTTTTGGGCAACTTCCTTAACAGTTTTACCATGAGTATACACAACAGTGTCATCAGCATACATGATCATTTTAGCATTATTACATACAGATGGAAAATCATTAATATAAAGAGAAAATAGCAAGGGCCCTAATATAGAGCCCTGCGGCACACCTATAGTGCATGCTCGTACGGGAGATGATACATTATTTACTGATACACACTGCTGCCTTGCACTGAGATAAGATTGAATCCAGTTAATTGTACTTGTGCTAATGGAGAAATGTGTTAATTTATCTATCAGCAGTTCATGGTTTACTGTATCGAAGGCTTTACGCAAGTCAAGAAAGACTGCCCCTACGACTCCTCCACTATCTAGACTGGATTTTATTTCCTCTATTAAATAGCAGCATGCAGTCTCCGTTGAGTATTGTTTTCTGAAACCAAACTGGAGAGGATGTAATGCAGCATTGTTATCAAGATGTTCCACAAGCTGCGCCGCAACAACTTTTTCGAAGACCTTGGAGATAGTAGGAAGGATGCTTATAGGTCGATAGTTAGAGACCTGGAGCTTGTCTCCTGACTTGTGTATGGGCTTTACTATAGCTGTTTTCAAATCTGTAGGGAAGATACTCTCATTTATAGACTGATTTATGACTTTAGTTAGCACTGGAGTTAAAATTTGTTTGTGCTCTTTTAAAAACACAGTATCAATGACGAAAATATCTTTAGATTTACTATTATTTAAGTGTGATGTTTCTTTTAAAACTGTGCCTTCATCTACATTCGATAATTTAAGAAATGACTCATCACAATTACAGTTATATACACAATTTTGAGTAATTCCATTTATTTTAAGTTGTATATGGTCACAATTAGTTTTTTCTTTTCCAAGTAATTTATCCATACTTTTCCAAAGGAGTTTACTATTGCCTTTTGCATCTTTAATCAGATTTAAATAAAAGTTTGCCTTGGCTTTTCTAAGCTGCATGGTAACCTTGTTCCTTAAACTTTTATATATATAATGATCAGTGGTCAATTTTGATTTAAGAAAGGTTTTAAGTGCCAGGTCTCTCTGCTTCATTAGATCCCAAAGGGGGCTACCAAACCATGGCAGTTTCTTTTTATTAGTTTTGTTTCTCTTTAATTGTGTATATTTGGCAACAGTCTCCTGTAAGGTTAGAGTAATATTACTGCATGTATATTCACAGCCTTTACTGTCAACTTTGCATTCCCAATCTATTTCATTTAAATCATTCATCAGTGCAATCTGATTTCTCTTAGGAATATGGAGTATTTTATTTTGATTATTTGTTTGCTGTTTGTCCCTATACCTGGATTTATTCATTTTTCTAGCAACTAGAGTGAGGTTGTGATCTGACAAACCTGTTATTAAGTTGTATGTTTTGGTAATCCTATCTGGTTTAGTTGTAAATATTAGGTCAATCAAGGTTTGGGAGTTTTTTGTTAGTCTAGTTGGCTTGTTTATCATTTGAGTCATTTGTACCGAGTTTGTGATGTCCTTAAGTTTTTTCTTTCTCATTTTATCAAGCCAGTTTATATTCAGATCACCCATTAACAGAGTTTCTTTTCTTTCATATTTTTTAAGTATTTCAGCTAAGCCAGAATAAAATTCATTTGTCGCATTTGGTGGTCGATATACAGCAAGTAAAATAAATGACATTTGTGCTGAAAGGGTTATAGTAACACCGACGCACTCCAAAGTTTGCACTGGAATGTTAATTTGATGACTATTGATGCAGTCCTTCACATAGATTAAGACTCCGCCTCCTTTCCCCTTTCCTCTGTCCCGTCTGTAAACATTGTATCCAGGAATTGTAAACACGGATAAAGGAGTGGTGGATGTTAACCAAGTCTCTGTAAGGCACAGGTAATCAAGATTTGAATCCAAAAGTAGATGTTCCAACTGTTCAGTTTTTGAAATCACACTGCGTATGTTTATATGTCCGCCAAATATTCCTTTAGGTTTTGTGTTGGGATTCCATAGTACTGACGCATGATTAACTGTTTGAAAAAGTTTAGTGTTTCGTTGTTTGGAGGTAATAATGGTCTGCAGCGAGCTGAGTTGTGTAGTTTTGGACGCACAGCATGCTAAGATGTTACCTTGTAGCATGGAGGTTACCTTGTAGCATGGAGGTCACTGGTGTTGCCGTGGGTGTATTCAGCTGCGTGGGTGTATTCTAGTCCTGATGGACCGCAGCCTCCTGCCTGAGGGGAGTAGTTGGAATAGTCCATGTGCAGGTGAGAGGGGAGTGGTTGGAATAGTCCATGTGCAGGGTGAGAGGGGAGTGGTTGGAATAGTCCATGTGCAGGTGAGAGGGGAGTGGTTGGAATAGTCCATGTGCAGGTGAGAGGGGAGTGGTTGGAATAGTCCATGTGCAGGTGAGAGGGGAGTGGTTGGAATAGTCCATGTGCAGGTGAGAGGGGAGTGGTTGGAATAGTCCATGTGCAGGTGAGAGGGGAGTGGTTGGAATAGTCCATGTGCAGGTGAGAGGGGAGTGGTTGGAATAGTCCATGTGCAGGTGAGAGGGGTCGGCTGTGATACGACCAGCCCGGCCTCGAGCTCGGGCGACGTACAGGTCCTGCAGCGATGGAAGGCTGCGGCCGATCACTTCCTCTGCAGAGCGCACAATGCGCTGTAGTCTCTGTTTGTCCCTGACTGTGGCTCCAGCGAACCACACGGTGACGGAGGAGGTGATGGAGGAGGTGATGGAGGAGGTGATGGAGGAGGTGATGGAGGAGGTGATGGAGGAGGTGATGGAGGAGGTGATGGAGGTGATGGAGGGTGATGGAGGAGGTGATGAGAGAGGTGATGGAGGAGGTGATGGAGGAGGTGATGGAGGAGGTGATGGAGGAGGTGATGGAGGAGGTGATGAGGAGGTGATGGAGGAGGTGATGGAGGAGGTGATGGAGGAGGTGATGGAGGAGGTGATGAGGAGGTGATGGAGGAGGTGATGGAGGAGGTGAGGATGGACTCGATGATGGCCGTGTAGAACTGCAGCTTGGCTTTCCTGAGCTGCCGCAGGAAGTACATCCTCTGCTGGGCCTTCTTGATGAGGGAGCTGATGGTCGGCTCCCACTTGAGGTCCTGGGTGATGGTGGTGCCCAGGAAACGGAAGGACTCCACAGAGGTGATGGGGGAGTCCATCACGGAGGGTGGGGGCGGGGGGACAGTGCTCTTCCTGAAGTCCACAATCATCTCCACTGTCTTCTGGGCGTTCAGCTCCAGGTTGTTACCACTGCACCAGGACACCAGCCGGTCCACCTCCCTCCTGTAGGAGACACCAGGACACCAGCCGGTCCACCTCCTCCTGTAGGAGACACCAGGACACCAGCCGGTCCACCTCCCTCCTGTAGGCGGACTCATCGTTGTTGGAGATGAGTCCAATGAGGGTGGTGTCGTCCGCGAACTTGATCAGCTTCACGGAGTCGTGGCTGGAGGTGCAGTGGTTGGTGTACAGGGAGAAGAGCAGGGGAGAAAGAACACAGCCCTGTGGGGCTCCTGTATTTATAATCCGAGAGTCCGAGACATTCTTCCCCAGACGCACTCGCTGCTTCCTGTCCGTCAGGAAGTCAGTGATCCACCTGCAGGTGGAATCGGGCACGTTGAGCTGGGAGAGCTTGTCCTGGAGCAGGGATGGCAGGATTGTGTTGAAGGCAGAGCTGAAGTCCACGAACAGGACCCTGGCGTAGGTCCCCGGGGAGTCCAGGTGCTGTAGGATGTGGTGGAGGGCCAGGTTAATGGCGTCGTCTACAGATCTGTTGGCTCTGTAGGCGAACTGCAGGGGGTCCAGGAGGGGGGAGGTGAGGGACTTGAGATGGGAGAGAACCAGGCGTTCAAATGACTTCATGACGACAGACGTAAGTGCTACAGGTCTGTAGTCATTGAGTCCTGTGATCCTGGGCTTCTTCGGGACGGGGACAATGATGGAGGATTTGAAGCAGGCCGGGACATGGCAGGACTGCAGAGAGGTGTTGAAAATGTCCGTGAACACAGGAGTAAGCTCACTGGGGCAGTGTCTCAGAGTGGCCGGAGACACGTGGTCCGGGCCAGGAGCTTTGCGGAGGTGCAGCCTCAAGAAGAGTTGTTTAATCTCTTTAGCGGCTATTGTTAGGCTGGGGGCAGGGCTGATGGGTGGGTCGTTAGAGTAGTGGGGGGTGGGGGAGGGAGAGGTGTCAGGGGCAGCATCAAAGCGACTGAAAAATAAGTTCAGATTGTCAGCTAGCTTGTGGTCATCAGCACAGGGGGGGGGCTTTGGGCTTGTAGTTGGTGATCTCCCGTAGGCCCCTCCAGACAGAAGCAGTATCGTTGTTACCAAACTGCTCCTGTAGTCGTTCTCTGTGCCGGGACTTGGCTGCTTTCAGTTCTTTCCTGAACTGATATTTAGCTGCTTTGTAGCCGCTGCGGTCCCCCTCCCTGAAAGCAGACTCCTTTGCTTTCCTGAGCTGCCGGAGTTTAGCAGTGAACCAGGGTTTGTCGTTGTTATAGATGACCCTGGTCCTTGTTGGAATGATGCTATCCTCACAGAAGTGAATGTATGACGTCACAGTGTCCGTGTATTCATCCAAACTATCTGTGGCAGCTCTGAAAAGGTCCCAGTCTGTAGATTCCATGCATGCAGCTCTTCCACAGCTTCATCAGACCACACTTTGGAGCTCCTCACTGCAGGTTTCGAGAGCTTTAGTCTCTGTCTGTAAGCAGGAACCAGATGTATCATGGAGTGATCTGAGAAGCCGAGGGCTGGCTTGGGAACAGCGCGAAAAGCTCCCGCACGGTGGTGTAGCAGTGATCCAGAGTGTTCTCCTCTCTGGTCGGGCATTTGATAAACTGTCTGTATTTGGGTAATTCCTGGCTCAAGTTTCCCTTATTAAAATCCCCCAGGATAATAATCAGAGAGTCCGGGTATAAGCGTTCCATACACAGTACTTGCTCTGCGTCCGCGCATGGCGGTATGTAAACAGAGGCAAGAATGAATGAAACAATTTCCCGCGGGGAGTAATATGGTTTACAATGAATGAAAAGATATTCCAGAGCAGGAGAGCAGTGCTTGGAGATCACTGTCACATCGTTACACCAGTTTGTATTGACGTAGAAACACAGCCCACCGCCTCTGCTCTTCCCTGAGAGCGCACAATGGAGGACACAGAGGACACAGAGGACACCAGGTCTCAGTGAAGCAGAGGACACAGAGAACACCAGGTCTCAGTGAAGCAGAGGACACAGAGAACACCAGGTCTCAGTGAAGCAGAGGACACAGAGAACACCAGGTCTCAGTGAAGCAGAGGACACAGAGGACACCAGGTCTCAGTGAAGCAGAGGACACAGAGGACACCAGGTCTCAGTGAAGCAGAGGACACAGAGGACACCAGGTCTCAGTGAAGCAGAGGACACAGGATGAAGTCCTTGTTTCTTCTCATGAGCAGGCTGAGTTCGTCCATCTTATTGCCCAGTGAGCGTACGTTGGAGAGAAAAATGCCGGGGAGAGGCTCCTCTCCTCCTCAGACGCACGAGCAGCCTCCACGCTTTCCCCTTTTACGGGCCCACACTTTTTTGGCTAGAACATAAACTAAATCAGCCGCAGATGCCAAGAAAACAGGCAATAGGTCCATGGGAACGGTGGGTCGGATGTTCATAAGTTCTTCACGGGTGTAGGAACAACCAGATGCACAGTTAAAAAGTAAAAACAAAAGAAAAAGAGAGCAGCAAAGAGCCGTGTCGACCGTACGAGGCGCCATCTTTTGTGAGATATATACATATATATACATATATATACATTCTTTGACGAAAGCAAAGTTGGATGTAAAACAAATCTTATTTCAAATACAAATCATTATTTCTGTCCTTGTCAATGTCTTGACTCTGTTTTCTATTCATTTCACAAAGTACGGTGGTGAATAAGTGACTTTTCATGGAAAACACTTGACCCCAAACTTTAGAACAGTAGTGTACACTTAGACATTTTTATTATGTTTATTCCTCAGAGTGTCATGTAAACAAGTGTGTGTCTGTGTGTGTGTGTGTGTCTGTGTGTGTCTGTGTGTGTCTGTGTCTCGTCACACACAGGTGAAATTACTAAGTCCTTCACTGCTGACTGACAGTTTTCGTTGCTTGTTGCTCATTGAAGCGTGACATTTGACTGAGTTATTACAGGCCTCTGTAACACACAATCTCTCTGTGGACACACACACAGAAATAGACATAGACAGAGACACAGACACACACACAGAGACACACACACAGACACAGACATAGACAGACACACACACAATCACTGACAGGTTCACTGACAGATTCACTGACCACTTCTCGGGGCAGCAGGGCGTCCTCTGGCCGGGTGACGGACAGGTGAACCACGCCCCCCATGGGTGTGGCCCTCAGCAGAGACACCACCTCCTCCTGGCTCCTCCCCTCCAGGTCCACTCCACCCACCTGCACAGAGAGGTCAGTCTGAGGTCCTCCTGCACAGAGAGGACTGAGGACCCCCTGCACAGAGAGGTCAGACTGAGGTCCTCACTCTCTCACCCTGACGCATGAGGGCTAACCACTCTGCTACCAGGGACTGTGTAGAATTACCTCAAGCAGACGGTCGCCAGCTTTAAGACGGCCATCTTGAATAGCTGCTCCTCGAGGAAGAATGTTCTTTACGATGATGGGAGCACTGCCCCCTAGAGGAACATCTCTGGAAGTGATGCTGAAGCCCAGACCCTCCGGACCTGAGGACAAACACAAGACCTGAGACCAGGACTAATGTGAGAGGACTTCAGGACAGAGACCTGAGACCAGGACTAATGTGAGAGGACTTCAGGACAGAGACCTGAGACCAGGACTAATGTGAGAGGACTTCAGGACAGAGACCTGAGACCAGGACTAATGTGAGAGGACTTCAGGACAGAGACCTGAGACCAGGACTAATGTGAGAGGACTTCAGGACAGAGACCTGAGACCAGGACTAATGTGAGAGGACTTCAGGACAGAGACCTGAGACCAGGACTAATGTGAGAGGACTTCAGGACAGAGACCTGAGACCAGGACTAATGTGAGAGGACTTCAGGACAGAGACCTGAGACCAGGACTAATGTGAGAGGACTTCAGGACAGAGACCTGAGACCAGGACTAATGTGAGATGACTTCAGGACAGAGACCTGAGACCAGGACTATTGTGAGAGGACTTCAGGACAGAGACCTGAGACCAGGACTAATGTGAGAGGACTTCAGGACAGAGACCTGAGACCAGGACTAATGTGAGAGGACTTCAGGACAGAGACCTGAGACCAGGACTAATGTGAGAGGACTTCAGGACAGAGACCTGAGACCAGGACTAATGTGAGAGGACTTCAGGACAGAGACCTGAGACCAGGACTAATGTGAGTGGACTTCAGGACAGAGACCTGAGACCAGGACTAATGTGAGAGGACTTCAGGACAGAGACCTGAGACCAGGACTAATGTGGGAGGACTTCAGGACAGAGACCTGAGACCAGGACTAATGTGAGAGGACTTCAGGACAGAGACCTGAGACCAGGACTAATGTGAGAGGACTTCAGGACAGAGACCTGAGACCAGGACTAATGTGAGAGGACTAGACCAGGACTCAGACATAAGTCTAAGCTCCGAATTAATTTTCTTCAAAGTGTTGAACCGCAGAAGTCTCTGATGATGGACTCTGTGGCAGCGCCTGGAGTGAACAGACCAACTGCTGTGGGAGACTTAAGACCAGAGAGAGACCAGAGCAGAGACCAGAGAGAAACCAGAGAGAGAGACCAGAGAGAGAGACCAGAGAGAGAGACCAGAGCAGACGTGGGGACTCAGTCAGTCCCTCTGAACAAACACGAGTAGAAACTGTAGACCCAGGACTGAGGCTGTAGACCCAGGACTGAGGCTGTAGACCCAGGACTGAGGCCGTAGACCCAGGACTGAGGCCGTAGACCCAGGACTGAGGCCGTAGACCCAGGACTGAGGCTGTAGACCCAGGACTGAGGCTGTAGACCCAGGACTGAGGCTGTAGACCCAGGACTGAGGCTGTATACCCAGGACTGAGGCTGTAGACCCAGGACTGAGGCTGTAGACCCAGGACTGAGGCTGTAGACCCAGGACTGAGGCTGTAGACCCAGGACTGAGACTGTAGACCCAGGACTGAGACTGTAGACCCAGGACTGAGGCTGTAGACCCAGGACTGAGGCTGTAGACCCAGGACTGAGGCTGTAGACCCAGGACTGAGGCTGTAGACCCAGGACTGAGGCTGTAGACCTCTCACTGCAGATGAATATGAATGACCAGGACAGACATAATCACAAACATCAGGATTCTCTCAGACTTGGCCTTTTCTCCCAAACACGAGACAAACAGATTCTGTCAAAGCCTCGAGACAAACGCTGAAGAATGACGCAGTTAAGATGTTTATGGTTTTAGAACTATCTGCCACATGGTAACTGCTCCATGGTCTCTGTTTCTCCTGGACCTGCTCCGATCATTACTACACTAGATATATATCTTATTTATTAATTCATTATCTATTATTTAATTATCTTTTACTTTATTATCTATTTTCTAAAACAATAGATCAGTTTGCTCTGATCCTGAACCACTGAGGGACAGACACATGTGTCTGTGTCTCGCCCTAAACTGTCTCACCCAACACCACAGCAGTCACTAAACTGTCTCACCCTAAACCACAGCAGTCACTAAACTGTCTCACCCTAAACTGTCTCACCCTAAACCACAGCAGTCACTAAACTGTCTCACCCTAAACTGTCTCACCCTAAACTGTCTCACCCTAAACCACAGCAGTCACTAAACTGTCTCACCCTAAACCACAGCAGTCACTAAACTGTCTCACCCTAAACTACAGCAGTCACTAAACTGTCTCACCCTAAACTGTCTCGCCCTAAACTACAGCAGTCACTAAACTGTCTCACCCTAAACCACAGCAGTCACTAAACTGTCTCACCCTAAACTACAGCAGTCACTAAACTGTCTCGCCCTAAACTACAGCAGTCACTAAACTGTCTCACCCTAAACCACAGCAGTCACTAAACTGTCTCACCCTAAACTACAGCAGTCACTAAACTGTCTCACCCTAAACTACAGCAGTCACTAAACTGTCTCACCCTACACCACAGCAGTCACTAAACTGTCTCACCCTAAACTGTCTCACCCTACACCACAGCAGTCACTAAACTGTCTCACCCTAAACTGTCTCACCCTAAACTACAGCAGTCACTAAACTGTCTCACCCTAAACCACAGCAGTCACTAAACTGTCTCACCCTAAACCACAGCAGTCACTAAACTGTCTCACCCTAAACCACAGCAGTCACTAAACTGTCTCACCCTAAACCACAGCAGTCACTAAACTGTCTCACCCTAAACCACAGCAGTCACTAAACTGTCTCACCCTAAACTGTCTCACCCTAAACCACAGCAGTCACTAAACTGTCTCACCCTAAACCACAGCAGTCACTAAACTGTCTCACCCTAAACCACAGCAGTCACTAAACTGTCTCACCCTAAACTACAGCAGCCACTAAACTGTCTCACCCTAAACTACAGCAGTCACTAAACTGTCTCACCCTAAACGGTCTCGCCCTAAACTACAGCAGTCACTAAACTGTCTCACCCTAAACCACAGCAGTCACTAAACTGTCTCACCCTAAACTGTCTCACCCTAAACTACAGCAGTCACTAAACTGTCTCACCCTAAACCACAGCAGTCACTAAACTGTCTCACCCTAAACTACAGCAGTCACTAAACTGTCTTGCCCTAAACTACAGCAGTCACTAAACTGTCTCGCCCTAAACTACAGCAGTTACTAAACTGTCTCGCCCTAAACTACAGCAGTCACTAAACTGTCTCACCCTACACCACAGCAGTCACTAAACTGTCTCACCCTAAACTGTCTCACCCTACACCACAGCAGTCACTAAACTGTCTCACCCTAAACTGTCTCGCCCTAAACTACAGCAGTCACTAAACTGTCTCACCCTAAACCACAGCAGTCACTAAACTGTCTCACCCTAAACTACAGCAGTCACTAAACTGTCTCGCCCTAAACTACAGCAGTCACTAAACTGTCTCACCCTAAACCACAGCAGTCACTAAACTGTCTCACCCTAAACTACAGCAGTCACTAAACTGTCTCACCCTAAACCACAGCAGTCACTAAACTGTCTCACCCTAAACTACAGCAGTCACTAAACTGTCTCGCCCTAAACTACAGCAGTCACTAAACTGTCTCACCCTAAACCACAGCAGTCACTAAACTGTCTCACCCTAAACCACAGCAGTCACTAAACTGTCTCACCCTAAACCACAGCAGTCACTAAACTGTCTCACCCTAAACTACAGCAGTCACTAAACTGTCTCACCCTAAACTACAGCAGTCACTAAACTGTCTCACCCTAAACCACAGCAGTCACTAAACTGTCTCACCCTAAACTACAGCAGTCACTAAACTGTCTCGCCCTAAACTACAGCAGTCACTAAACTGTCTCACCCTAAACCACAGCAGTCACTAAACTGTCTCACCCTAAACCACAGCAGTCACTAAACTGTCTCACCCTAAACCACAGCAGTCACTAAACTGTCTCACCCTAAACCACAGCAGTCACTAAACTGTCTCACCCTAAAACTACAGCAGTCACTAAACTGTCTCACCCTAAACCACAGCAGTCACTAAACTGTCTCACCCTAAACTACAGCAGTCACTAAACTGTCTCACCCTAAACTACAGCAGTCACTAAACTGTCTCACCCTAAACTACAGCAGTCACTAAACTGTCTCACCCTAAACTACAGCAGTCACTAAACTGTCTCACCCTAAACTAGAGCAGTCACTAAACTGTCTCACCCTAAACTACAGCAGTCACTAAACTGTCTCACCCTAAACTACAGCAGTCACTAAACTGTCTCACCCTAAACTACAGCAGTCACTAAACTGTCTCACCCTAAACTACAGCAGTCACTAAACTGTCTCACCCTAAACTACAGCAGTCACTAAACTGTCTCACCCTAAACTAGAGCAGTCACTAAACTGTCTCACCCTAAACCACAGCAGTCACTAAACTGTCTCACCCTAAACTAGAGCAGTCACTAAACTGTCTCACCCTAAACTACAGCAGTCACTAAACTGTCTCACCCTAAACTACAGCAGTCACTAAACTGTCTCACCCTAAACTACAGCAGTCACTAAACTGTCTCACCCTAAACTAGAGCAGTCACTAAACTGTCTCACCCTAAACTACAGCAGTCACTAAACTGTCTCACCCTAAACTACAGCAGTCACTAAACTGTCTCACCCTAAACTACAGCAGTCACTAAACTGTCTCACCCTAAACCACAGCAGTCACTAAACTGTCTCGCCCTAAACTACAGCAGTCACTAAACTGTCTCACCCTAAACTGTCTCACCCTAAACTACAGCAGTCACTAAACTGTCTCACCCTAAACTGTCTCACCCTAAACCACAGCAGTCTGTGGCCTATCATTAAAGTAGTTCTAGAATGTAATATGCTGCTATCCAGAATATATAACTATAATATAATATATAAATATGTGTTTATAATATTTCGGGTGTTCATTTTTATATGTTCAGATGAATTATGTTAAAAAACCGGCTTTGAAGTGGTACCTTTTCACAAACGCTAGGGGGCGCCAAAATGGCGGCGATGACGTAGGAGAATGACCTCTCACAGCAGCAGCAGCAGTCTGGGCTGAATCTGTAGGAGGTTTCTCTGTCATCTGAACAAAGCCGTTTTTTTAACATAATTCATCTGAACATATCAAAATGAACACCCGAAATATTATAAACACATATTGTAGTTATATATTCTGGATAGCAGCACATTAAATTCTAGTACTACTTTAAACTAACCTGCAGTCGTTTTTAGCCACATCCAGGACCATCCTCTGAGAGACTGACCATTCATGAGCTGGACGGTCCATAGTCCAGAGTCCAGACCCCAGAGTCCAGGGTCCACAGTCCAGACCCCAGAGTCCAGGGTCCAGAGACTGACCTATCATGAGCTGGACAGTGCATAGTCCATAGTCCATAGTCCATAGTCCAGACCCCAGAGTCCAGGGTCCAGGGTCCAGAGACTGACCTTTCATGAGCTGGACAGTGAACCTGCGTCCTCTGGTCTTCATGTAGGAGGAGGTGGCGGCTGAGGTGCTGATGCGGCGCTGCAGTGTGGGGGACACGGCTGATGCCGTCCTGGACACCAGACTGGGGGGTAACGTGGAGAACCTGCGAGCGGACTCTGGGGTGCTGCCCCCCAGTGGAGCGGGGAGGGAACTGCAACACACGGAGGTCATGGGGTTAATGAGCGACTGACTTCCACAGAAAAACATTTAGAGAAGTCACTTTTTAACTGTTTGTCTCCAGTCGCCTGGTCTCACTGAGACCAGGACTGAACCAGGACTAGACCAGGACTGAACCAGGACTAGACCAGGACTAGTCGCCTGCTCGCTTTGAGATTGTGTTGAAGCCAAAGGTAACGTTGGTCCATTGTGAGATGAATACATTTGTAGCTGATCTACTAGATCAGGGGTGCTCAATACGTCGATCGCGATCTACCAGTCGATCGCAAAGGTAGTATTGGTAGATCGCATTAAATAAATAAAAAAATACACATTCTAAACTAATATATACAAAAAACTCCGGGCAAAGTGGAGATTTTTGAAAACTCCGTTAATGCATTTGTGTGTAGACAGAGATAATCGGAGTTTTGCGTTCTCGCACGCCACAGTACCCCCCTAAATTCCTCTGATCACTGAAGCATGGATCATACTACCTTAAAAACTGTTCGCTGTGAGATGCTCGCAGCAGCGAACATCCTCCACATCAGAGAGCAGCAAAGTGATCGCGGGGACTCACGCTCGAAAACAACCAAACCAGGACTAAACCAGGACTAAACCAGGACTAAACCAGGACTAAACCAGGACTAAACCAGGACTGAGGACGGGGTCAGTGCTTGTAAACATACGTCTTTACTCTGAGTGTCTTCTATGACTGTAAAAGTGCCGTTACCGGCGTCTGCATCAAAGCTCCGCCCACTTCTGTGTTTTTCCCCAACGCAGGACAGGACGTAAGACACGCACATGTTTGGAATGTGATTGATAACGCAGATGTGTGGATGCAAATTATTTTATAAACTGAGGAGGGGAAATATTTGGATTAAAAAAAACAGGCATGGCACATGGACATGGCACCACAGTCAAATGACATCTGTGTTTTACTCAGTAATGTTTTACTGACACTTAGGTGACTGCACATGCGCAAACAACCGCGCTCAGTGCAGGAAAGCTAAACCACGACAAACTTGTCAGCGAGTTACCACCAATTTTATGGACTATGCATCCCTGGCCGATTCAATTCAGTCATAAGAGTAAACTCGGGTAATGACAAAAAATGTACATAGGTAATTGTGTTGTGTTGTGCTATATTGGCTCATGCTGTTTTGCATGTACATAAACATATATTGTAGGTATAAAGAATATTTTTTGAAATAAATATATGATTTGCATTTTTGTAGTAGGTAGATCATTTTGACTTGATCCTTTTATAAGTAGCTCGCATGCTGAAAAAGTGTGAGCACCCCTGTACTAGATGGTGTTGGTTTTACTCAGAATGTTGAGGAACCTACTCACATTCATAACCACACCTTGGACCTTGTCCTGACCTACGGCTGTGATGTCTCCAATGTTGACATCCAGCGTCAAAGCTCGTTGATCACGTTTGATCTCGATTTGGAGGACTTTCCTGTCATAATGAAAAGAACCTTAAATGAAAAATCTATCACAAGGTTCAAAGAACTAATACAGCCTATGTTGAATACTGCTGCAGGTGAACCTGTTCACAGCAGCTGCAGTCCCTCAGTCATTGACCAAACGGTGGACAACACTTTAAAACAGGACGTCAGAAAATTGGAGAGGCTATATCGCCACTCCCACTCGGAGCCTGTCCACAGGGAGTGGAAAGCAGGTCTCCGAAACTATAAGAAGGCCCTTCGCAGGGCTCGAACTCAATACTATTCAACTTTAATAGAAGCCAATAAAAATAACAGTAGATTTTTGTTTAGCACCGTCGCTAAACTCACAAACTGCCATAGCACAATCGAGCCTAAAATTCCAAGCTCACTGAGCAGTGTCGACTTTCTCCACTTCTTTAATAATAAAATTACATCCATCCGTGACAAGCTGGAGGAGGTTGCTCCTGCTGTTAGTGGTGGACAGGCTGAAGCGGCATACGTGACTTCCCACTTAGACTCTTCAGTGGGCCTTAATAAATTCATGGCTGTGAGCCAAGCAGAGGAGATCTCTGTGGTCACATCCTCAAAAGCCTCAACTTGCATGTTAGACGCAGTCCCGACATGGCTCTTCAAAGATATACTTCCTTTGATAATTGAGCCTATCGTAAATATAATAAACGCATCCATACAATGTGGCTATGTCCCACAAGCTTTTAAAACCGCGGTAATCAAACCCCTTCTGAAGAAAACAAACCTGGACCCAGAAATACTTACAAACTACAGACCGATCTCAAACCTCACTTTTATATCTAAAATCCTGGAAAAACGTATAGCTGAGCAGCTCCGCTGCCACCTGCAGGAAAATAATATGTTTGAAGTCTTTCAATCAGGATTCAGAGCTCATCATAGCACTGAAACGGCACTAGTCAAAGTCACAAATGACTTACTACTAGCTGCTGATAATGGACAAGTGTCAGTGCTGGTCCTACTGGACCTTAGTGCTGCATTTGACACAATAGACCACAGCATTCTACTGCAGAGGCTAGAATGTGATATAGGTCTTAGAGGAACAGCCCTTGGCTGGTTTAAATCCTATTTATCAGATCGGTATCACTTCGTCAACGTAAATCAGAACTCGTCGCCTTATTCTGGAGTAGAATTTGGTGTGCCGCAGGGTTCGGTACTCGGACCGATTCTTTTTACTCTCTACATGCTGCCATTAGGAAACATTATTAAAAAGCATGGAATTAATTTCCACTGCTATGCAGATGACACACAGCTTTATCTGTCGATGAAGCCTAATCAGACAGATCAGCTAGAAAAGCTCAGTGCCTGCATAAAGGACCTTAAAATGTGGATGACTCTTAACTTCCTACTTCTCAACCCGGAGAAGACAGAAGTGATCCTACTCGGTCCGAAGCGCCTGCGTGACTCCCTCACTAACCAGATAATTACTCTGATAATGTCAGTATTATACCCAGTAACACTGTGAGGAATCTTGGAGTCATTTTTGACCAAGAACTCTCCTTCAAGGCTTATATAAGCCAAGCAACTAAAACGGCGTACTTCCACTTACGGAACATCGCTAAAATTAGGAATATTCTTCCTAAAAGTGACGCGGAAAAACGTATTCACGCTTTTGTCACCTCAAGGCTCGACTACTGTAACGCTTTACTGGCAGCGTGCCCTAAAGCCTCTTTGAAGAGCTTCCAGCTCGTTCAGAATACAGCAGCTAGGATCTTAACAGGTACCAAAAGGAGGGAGCACATAACTCCGGTGTTAAAATCACTCCACTGGCTCCCTGTGGAGTACAGAATAAAGTTTAAAATCCTACTCTTAACATATAAAGCCATAAATGGCTTGGCTCCCTCTTATCTCCAAGACACGTTAGTGTCGTATCAACCAAGTCGAGCGTTGCGCTCACAAAACGCCAGACGTCTGGTGGGTCCCTAAGGTCTCAAAGGTCACTGTTGGCGGCAGAGCATTTAGCTCCAAGCTCCTTTACTGTGGAATCAGCTTCATTTATGTTAAGGAAGCAGATACGGTCTCCACATTCAAGGCCAGGCTTAAAGCACTTTACTTTAATTTAGCATATAATTAGGTAATATATAATATATGGTGTATATATTATATATATATGCTGTATTATGTTATATATTATGTTATATATTATACAATAATGTATTGTGTTATGTTGTATATTATGTTATATATTATGCTGTATGTTATGTTGTGTATTATATATGATATATATGGCATGTATGGTATATATGATGTATATGATATATAATATATAATTGGTTTTGCTTGGATCGGTTTGGCACACCTGGTGTGCAATCCATGAATCTCTTTATTCAAGGCTAGGTTTAAAACAGTCCTCTTTAGTTTAGCATATGGCTAGGAAGGTAAGACTCGGAGAAGGTTAAACTCCTCAGACTGTCAGTCAAGCTGCATAGGGAGCCCCCTGCTGGAGAAGTGTGGTAACTGCACTATCCTCTCCTCCTTCCTACTTTATCTGTTTAGCATTTTTAGGATTTTGACTGTAGTTTGTTCATTGCTATTCACCCGTTGTCCCATTGTCTGTTTCATGGTACGATGACGGGATCTCTGAGCCTGGCCTCTTCCATCTACACCTGCGGACTGCCCCGCCCGACCCGCCTGGGAGTGCTTCAGTCCTGCACCGGACCTGTCCCACGTTCAGCGTCCACTGGTCCACGTCCTGTAGCTAGCTTAGGTCCTAGATCATTAGTCTGTCCGTCCGGAGGAGCGGATCCCTTTCTCATATGGGTCTCCCTCCCTGTGGGTTTCCCTAGTTCTCCTCCAAGGTTTCTCACTTTTTCCCACTGGGTTTTTTAAGAGTTGTTCCTTGTCGATGCAGGAGGGTCTTGTTGGACAGTTAGTGTCCAACAGAAAGGATTGGTGATGATCAGGACACTTTAGCATTCTACAACATGTATGGACATTTTCTTCTGTGTGTGCTTTATATTCTTCATGTGTTTTAACTGTTGATTCTCTGACCTGTGTTGGTGATTTCAATGGTTTTGTTAAGTCCTCTGAGATGACTTCTGTTGTGACCTAGGGCTATACAAGAATAAATTGTATTGTATTGTATTGTATCTACAGCCTCAGTCCTGGGTCTACAGCCTCAGTCCTGGGTCTACAGCCTCAGTCCTGGGTCTACAGCCTCAGTCCTGGGTCTACAGCCTCAGTCCTGGGTCTACAGCCTCAGTCCTGGGTCTACAGCCTCAGTCCTGGGTCTACA